CGCCAGATCAGCGTCGGCGCCGCCAGCGCGCCCCGGACGCCGCCGCGCCGCACCAGCGCCGGCGCGGCGGCCGCGCGCGACGGCGACTGCCTGCTGCGGCTGCCCTTCTTCCTCGAAATCGACGCGCAGCGGCAGCAGCCGCGGGGGCGCCAGCAGCGGCCGCACGTGCGAATCAAGCTCCTGGGGCCGCAGTCGGCGCGGCTCGGCGACGCTGTCTCGCTTACGTGGCAGCTCACGCGGGTCGCCGACGCGCCGGGGTTTTCGCCGGCGCCGGCAACAGCGCCAGGGCAAAGGGAGGCGGGCGGCCCGCGCTGGCCGGCCGCGGCCGGCGGCGGCGACGGGGAGGAGGAGGACGGGGCCGGCGACGGGCGCGACGGCGGCGAATCCTCGGACGACGTGATCTGGTACGAGCTGCACTTCCGAGGTTTGGGGGTGGCGGCGTCGGCGTCGGCGTCCTCAGCGGCGGCCGGCGGCTCCGGCGGCGGCCGGCGGCCGCCCGACGACTACGGCGGCGAGGGCGAGGGCGTGGCGGCCGCCGCGCCCGGCGCGCGGCGGCACGGCAGCGTGCGCCTCGGGCGCGCGGCCGGCGCGATGGCGACGGTGGAGGCGACGGCAGTGGCGCGGGCGCTGGGGCCCCAGGACGCCCCGCGGCTGGTGCTGGTCGGCGTTCCGGACTCTGAGCAAGAGCGGGCGGGCGACGACTCAGTTTTCGTGTATTCTTCCTGACCCCCTCCTGATCAGTGTCCTCCCAACTGATCATTGTTTGATTGTCTGTGCCGAGTGTTTTTTGGCATGACCGTAATGCCGCTGTGGCAACCTCTGCATGCCCCCTTTATTCACATGCAATGCATTTTTACGATGCACCTGACAGCCGGGGACCCCGGATCACATGGTCAGGTGCTCCTGCCCCCTCCCCTTTGACCCGTGATTTGGTTGCACTGCCACTGTGCCACCCCGCAGCAGAGGCGGCTGCCCGCGGGTCTGCGGCGGCCGCCATCCCATGATGTAATGCGTCGAGCCTTCCCAAAAGTGCGGGCCGTCGGTTGTTGCGGAGCGATGCCGCGACGCGTGTTTGCCTTCTCGATGCCCAACATGCCGCAGAGGGACGCTGCAGACCGGAGCCGTGGGTTGCCGCCTCAGCCCAGGGAGGGGCCGCACCTGTTTCGACCACGCGCACAAGCCTCGGGGCCGCCCAACAGCACAAACTGACAGCCGCAGTGCTGCATGCGCCCAGCGGTCGAAAGCTTGTGCGCATACGCAAGCCAACCGACCCTGTTTAGTCTGAAAGGCGGCGGGCAGCGGCGCAATTCACATCACCTGAGATGCCCGGGATGCGGTGTCTGAGGCCTGTCAGCTCCAACCCAATGGATCAGCGCCTTTGTCCTGCAGGGCAAAACACACAATCACTAGTGGATGGCACCCAGTTCTTGCTACTGAGCGCCTTCACAGCGCCTCTCATGACTTAGCTAGACAAGGATCAAACGGATGGTGGCCAAACACATACCCGAGAGGTGCCGCGAGTTCATAGACGGCAGGTGGGTGGGCAATGTGTTTGGGGGGGGGGGGCGCAGGCAAGGGCATGCACACAGAGTCGCATGCGTACCTCTGATGCGTCTTTCATCTGCAGGCAGGCCCTCGCAAGGACTTACTCGCTAATGGTGCGATCAGCGTGGCTCCACACTACAGCCACAGCCGCACAAATGGTGACAGAGGGTTAGTACGCCGGCCCTGAAGCTGCCCCACGCTTTTGAGCTGCACCAGGACAGCGCATGAGCTTGCAGCCAACACGCTCAGCAGCGCAAACATTGTCGCGAAAAATACTGTGATGTACCATGCGCACCTGATTGTGTCAGCTGAGATCTAGGCGGGATCAAGGACGATGGCCGAATGCTGGGCTGAGTTTGCGGCCAGCGTGCTCTCGGTGGAATTGAGCCGCGTGAGAGAGCATCTGGAGTCCGATTCAGATGCTGAGGCGCCCTACCGCGAGCTGTATGCAGCGGCCGAAGCGCTGAAAGGTCTGGAGGCTCGCGCAACCGCAATCGCCGAAGACGCGGCCGGCGACGCCGGCCCGAGCGCGCGCGCCGCGGCGCGCTGGTGCGTGGACCGCTTGCGGCTGGAGCGCGGCCTGGCGCTGCTGCAGACCGACCTGCTTTCGGAGGGCGAGGCATTAGTCGCCGCGTCCCTGGCGACACACCACGCCTGGCCGCTGCTGGAAGCGCTGCGCGCGCGCAACGCGCTGGGCGCGCTGTGGTGCGCCCGCGACGACGCGCCGCGCGCGCTGGACCACCTGCAAGAGGCACAGGCGCTGTACACTGCGCGCCGCGGCTGCGCCGCGGGTTGCGGCGGCGGCGGCAGGGCGCGCGGCGGCACGGCCGGCGCCGCCGCCGCCATCGCGGCAGACGGCCTCGGCGCACTCAGCCTCGCCGACGCGGGCCCCTCGCCGGCCGCGGCGGCGGCGCCGCCAATGGATGCTGCGGCACCAGCAGCGGCAGCAGGCGCTTCTCCGGCGGCGCCGCCCGGCGGCGTGGGGCCAGCAGCTGCAGCTCAGCAGGGTCATCAGGATGCTGACTGTGCGGAGCGCGAGTCGCCGGAGTGGGCGTCCCCGCTGCGCCCCGGAGACATCGATGCGGCCGTCGAGGACGCCCACACACAAACGCGTGAGCAGGGGCCAGCCCCCTTTCGAAGCCGCCGAGCTGCGCCGGTCCACGGCTCAATCCATAACTTCACCCCACTCCCCCGCCGCCAGCTGCGGGCGGGCTGCGACGCCCCTGAGGTTGTGCATGCGGCCCGCCCATCCGATGCGGGCCCCTGCAACCGCCCGGTTATTACATCCCTATCCGCCGCCCTTTGCAGTGTTCTTCTTGGCGCAAGTCCACGGGCTGGCCGGGGACCGAGCCGCGTCGGCTGCATTCTGCGCTGCAACCCTCGCCCGCCAGGCGCGAAAGCCGGGTGCGTGCTGGTCACGCGCGTGCCAACGCGGCCCGTACCAGCAACACACCGCCGCATGCATTACGCAGCATGGGCGCTGCATGGCTCGCGCTGTGCTGCGAGTACCGATTAGTTGGTGAGGCCGATCCGCACCAAGGCAGTCCAAAACCACAGCCACCTATTTGCTGCCGCAGGTGATGTGGACGTTGACGAATGGGTGCAGAACGTGCTGCAGCTGTCGGGGTTCTACATCGAGCGCAGCTGCTTCGCGATGGCGCGCCACTGCTTGGAGGCGGTGCGCGCGCTGCTGCAGCAGCGCCGGCGGCAGCAGCAGGAGCAGCAGCAGCAGCAGCAGCAGCAGCAGCAGCAGCAGCAGCAGCAGCAGGAGCAGCAGGAGCAGCAGGCCTCGGCGGACTCCCCAAATGCAGCAGCAGCAGCAGCAGCGACAGCGGAGGGCGGCGAGGAGGAGGGGCCCGGAGGGCCGGGCGGCGGCGGGGCGGCCGAGCGGGCGGCGGGCGAGGAGGGAGACGGCGCTTGGGGGCGAGACACCGCCGGCGGCGAGGGCAAGCAGCGGCAGCATGACCAAGAGTTGGGCCCAAAGCCCTCCCTGCGCCCCGCTGCCCCCGCCACCGGCGCCGCTGCCGCCGCGGCGCTCAACCCCGGTGAACCCACGCGGGCGGCGGTTGTCGACGACCTGCTGAGTCAGCTCGAGGCCGACGTGGCCGCAAACGTGGCGCTCGCGTGGGGCAAGCTGTTTTTGTACCGTCTGGTGGCGTCCCACGATGTCGGGCTGCTGGGGCGGCCTTCAAAATGCACCATTTTGGGGCCGGGTGACGTGCCCTCGGAGGCCAGGTGGGGGGCAAAGTGTTACAAGAGGGGTCGCAGCGGCTCACGTTCTGGCATTTCAACCGTCATATCTGGAAAAATGCGTGTGTTGTTTGTCAAGACCGTGTGCTGTGGATTTGGGTGGTGGCGGACGATCACTCCCAGACGCCGCTGACATCCTAAACCCTGAAACCTCGGCCTACCGCAGGTTTGACGATCTGCCTGGCATGCCCGCGCTCGAGTCGCTGCCAGAGTGGCGGAGCGGCGGGCGGGTCCCGGACTACGAGGGGGCCCGCGGGCTCGCCAACGCCGCGCTGCCGCTGCTCAGGTGCGCCGGCGCCGGGCGGGCGGCCGGAAATGACATCATGACGCCGCGGCGGCCACGTGCAGGGCGGCCCCACCTCGAGCCCATCGCCCGCTCAATCACGCATCTCATACCTCCAGCCGGGCCACCCAAACCTTCAATGCCCAGCACCTGCTTCCGGCGCACCTCCTGACACACCTGTGTGGCCATGGACCATGGGTTCCAAACCCCCAAAACACCCAGCGCCCCGCTCCGCTGAACCGTCATCCCCCCCCCTCGTCGGCCCCAGCCACGCCCTGCAAAGCCGGTATCTCCACTTTCCTGCAAAATCTTAATCAGCTGAGGTCCCTGCACGCTGCAGCCCCCAACCCCAA